ATGGTAATAAAAGCACAGTATTAAGAAGTAACTATGCAGCTGGACGATCTAGACTTCGCAGATGATCTGGCCCTCCTATCGCAAATGCAACAACAAATGCAGGAGAAGACGACCAGTGTATCAACAGCATCAGCAGCAGTAGGTCTCAATATACACAAAGGGAAAAGCGAAATTCTCCGATACAACACAGCATGCACCAATCCAATCACAATTGACGGAGGAGATTTGGAAGATGTGAAAACGTTTACATATCTGGGCAGTATCATCGATGAACACGGAGAATCTGAATCATATGTGAAAGCGCGAATCGGTAAAGCAAGAGCAATATATTTACAACTGAAGAACATCTGGAACTCGAAACAACTGTCAACCAACACGAAGGTCAAGATTTTCAATATAAATTTCAAATCAGTTCTACTGTATGGAGCAGAAACCTGGAGAACTACGAAAGCCATCATCCAGAAGATATAGGTGTTTGTTAACAGTTGTCTACACAAAATACTTCGGATCCGTTGGCCAGACATCATTAGCAACAACCAACTGTGGGAAAGAACAAACCAGATCTCGGTGGAGGAAGAAGTCAGGAAGAAGTAATGGAAGTGGATAGGACACACATTAAGGAAAGCACCAAACTGCGTCACAAGGCAAGCCCTCACATGGAATCCTCAAGGCCAAAGGAAAAGAGAAAGACCAGGCCTATGCTCCATTTGGAGTAATAGGCGTAAGTAAGTAAGTAATTAAGAAGTAACTATATGAGTTTACTAATTGAATTTAGTGCAGCGTTACAATTCACCTGATATTCTGAAGAACAAGTCATAACATCATATCATTTATAAAACCTTCACCTTTATTTTCATCTTTTTTTTAATTCATTAATTAAATGAATTTATTGATTGGTTCAGGAACCAAGTCCAAAACTCCGACAATTCGCTCACAAATTTAGTCACCAGTTTGCACAAAAATGGTTTTACAGTTACATTTTATATTTTAATAACCTGCAAATAATAATCCTTCTTTGTGTATACATAATAATAACATTATCTGTAAATGACTAAGGAAAATAAAATCTCCTACCATAATCATACTATAGTGAATGAGAATACAAATGAAGACAACCAAATGTATTTCCATACATTATAGAATATCTTGATAAAATCTGACAACCATACAGTAAATACTTCGTTTACAAAATATCCAACAATTATCTTAGACTTTATTATTCCTTTGTTTCCATATCAATCATTCTCTATTCTTAATCACTTCTTTTCAATTTTTTCTCAATCTTCTGCCGTCAGACACTTCACTTTCCATTGACAATACATACTACTTATATTTGTCGACATTAGTAGTACACACCAAAATAGTCTTTAAAGTATTATTATAAATCATACATTCTACTGAATTTGTTTGTGTAATTTTTTTTAAGACAAAAAACAAAAACCAAATCTCATTTACATCCTATTAATCCTTATGAAAATGGAAAGAAATGACAGACTACTAGTTCTTATTCCTTAGAGATTACATGGTACAATTCAAAAAAGAACATATGAAAAGTGTATAAAAAAGAAAAAAATGTATCATCCTAATTAATATTTCTGTATGTCAAATCTGAAACAATCATTACTGTTATTATTCTTAAACAAAACTAAACACCTTGATATTTATGATTTATATAAATAACCATTGAGAATGAATAAGTACTGAACTATTTATTGTTTTATTATTTCTTTTGAGAACAACTTTCTATATTGAAGTAGTGAACAATGGAATTCAACCAAATCGGGAGTTGAAAGAATAACACCAATTGTTAGTGTAGGGGTTGTGGAGATTAGTAAGTTTTTGATTGAGATCATGAACCGATTGATGTCAGACCACTGCTGGAAACCTCGAAGCACTGGACGGCCGTTTCGTCCTACTGTGGGACTCCTCAGCAGTGCGCATCCGAGATCCCGCTCGCAAGATTCAGACTTAAGGCCTTCGGTCTCGCTTGCGAACGCTTAACCTACTGAACCACTGAGCCGGCATCCAATGGTGATAGAGTTGATGTTAGACGGCTGTTAAACGGCCGTCCAAGGCTTTCAGGTTTCCAACAGTGGTCTAACATCAATCGGTTCATGATCTCAATCAGAAACACCAACTGTATTAAAAGATGGTTATGTAGCATTAAAAATTGATATTAAGCATTTGTTGCAATAAAACATGACAGTTCTAGATATGATTCTTGATCGTTTTGTGAACAAAACACTTCAAATGACTCCTAATACTAGAATAAAAGAACTATTCAATAATTATTCCATGATAAATTTTAGTTGAATTTTAAGATTTATTATAAGCTGACTAGCGAACTGATCTATATAATAAATACAATTAATTAAAATAAATGAGTTGTGGTTGATTTTGTTTTTTTTTTGTTTCTTTTTTTAGTTGCCGACTGTTCTCCACCATTTTTTCTTCCTTTTTTCTTTTTTTGACTTTTGTATTGTAATAAATTTATGCAAATCCTTAAAAGCAAAGATTGAATGTCCTCTATAATAAGATGAATGAAATTAGTTTGATCTAGGTTTATTATATAAAACATACAAAAATAAAATACAGAATAACAATAGATTACTGAATAAAAACCTATTTAATCAGTAGTATGTGAATGAATAAAAAAGAAGAGAAAGATTATAGAGAATTAAAGTAAGTTTAAATTAGAAAAATGAATGTATGATCTATGGAGAAAAAGAAAGAAATCATGTATAGATATGCACTTGTTTTTCAACTTGTTTGTAGACGAAGAAATAGAATAAGATACATATTGAGGAAAACATTTAAGTGTATCACAAGGTAAGATATCACTTAGAATCCTTATGATCAAAAAAGGAAAACTAAAAAACAGATTATGCTGAGAAATGGAAACAGAAATAAGAAGCATGAACAACAGTTGGATAGAACTAAAAAGGATGGCTCAAGACAGAGTGAGTTGGAGAATGCTGGTTGATGGTCTATGCTCCACTGGGAGTAATAGGAGTATGTAAGGAAGTAAATTATCTCTTGAACTAAAGGTATTCAATATTCAAAGAAAAAATATTCTTATTTTCAGTTAATCTAATACGATTTGTTTATACATATAACACTTTTTATATGGATTAGAGTGAAAATCATTCAGTTACTTGTTTGTTTTTTCTCAAATAGAAAGCGATCAATAATAGGATTATGGATTAGTTCAGTATGTTATTTGCTCATTTTGATATATAATTGTATTCTGACGATGAATTTTATTAAGTGGTTGAAGATAGGGGCAAAGTAACCTGTGTAGCCTAGATTTCTTGGTGTTGGCACTTATCAGCAATGTGTGCATGTAATCATTAGTAAAATCCCAGATTGTAGAATTGAGTTGTAATGATTGAGTTTTATTAGGAAGTATCACTTTTGTCAAAGTTACAAGTATGTCTGCCTGATGAGAACCAATTCGTTCGAAGTTTAGATTTAATGTTTCTTGTTGACTACCTCCAACCACCATCTTATCTCAACATAGTGCACGGAATGTCGAGTCACCTAAACAGGTGACACCATTGCAAATTCATCGATAGAATTCGACCAGCACTAAGAAGGACCTGACATACATGACATCGATCACCACACAGTGATCGATCAATTGTAAATTTGTGTAATTACTAATTTGTATGACTGTCTTAATAAATAATGTAAATGTAAAGAAAACTTATAGACTATGAAATCACTCACTTAATAATATATTGTATAACTATGAAATCTATGTTATTGTTCACAAAAGATCAGACTGATATTGTAAAGTGATGTACACGATGTTTGTTGCTTAAATAAAATCGCATGAAATATCATTTATTCAATGAATTGTTGGTTCTGGGAATTGGATGAGTATGCATTCCGTCAGTCACTTAGTTATATATATATATATATATATATATATTGGTGGTGTTTTGTTCTCTGAGCTGGATGGTTTGGTCGTGGAGCACAAACTTCAGATAGAAGTTTGTGCTGATGATGTCGTTCAGAAGAACGATGAAAGCTCCACGACCAAACCATCCAGCTCAGAGAACAAAACACCACCAAAATCATCCACCTGAGCTACAAATCTTCTCCACCATCTCAAAAAAAAAAATATATATATAGGATACGATACAGTATTATGAATGGTGGATGCCTCAGTTGTGTTTTTCATTCTGTCTAACACTCGAATTCAAGTAAACTAGTTCATCACATCTAGAGTATATATGAATATTAACCACAAGATTATATAAACTTTTACAGTTAGGTTCCTATGCGTTAAACAACCTGAACTGTTTATATTAATAAGAAGTACTTTAAGTACCGGAACCGAGTCCTAATGTGAAAATCAACACATAACTTAAGATACATACATTAAGTTAGCTTTAATCAGAATAGAATACATATCCTAGTTTCCAATTTTAGCCACATGTGAAAAATATATTTGTGAAAAAATCTGTTTAACTTGACATGCAGTAAGTTATATATAATAATTGGATGAGTATTGTTGAGAAGTTCCTTACTAGGACGAAACGACCGTCCAATCCTTCTAGGTTCTCAATGATGGTCTTACATTGATCGATTCATGAATTCAATACAATTCAACAATCTTGACAACCATAAACTGGAAATGATCCAGTGCTCACTAATCACTAACTTGGAGAGGGAATCCTTGAAGTTCTAGTGAGAAGCCATGACCAGTTGAGTTGATCCGTGCCAGATATGAGGCAGTTACTCACTAAATAAAATAGAAGACGGTCGCACTTGAGACCGAAAGTCCTAGGTTCAATTCATGTGTGCGAGATAGTGAATACACACTGCTGAGAAATCCCATACTGGTTTTTGATAGTGATCTGTCTATCATCGATTGATGATCTCGATCAAACTTCAACAATCTCCACAACTCTACACTGATAATTATATATAAAAATATATATACTGACATATAACTATAATCAACAATAACATCAAAAATAAATAAATCCTACCCTAGCTGCTTTAGATGTATGCGGTTTCTCTAATAAATTCCATCCTTGTCTTTTTAAATTTGCATAACAACCAGAACCAAATTCATCAATAGTTGTTGTTTGTTTTAAACAATTTTCTTCTTTTTTAACTTCATCTTCAATTAAATCTTTTTGTTGATGATAACGATGTGAACAACATGCTTTAATAAAACTTTCATTAACACCCCAATAAATTAATTCATCTTTAAAATCCATTACACAAATCATATCATTATAATGTAATTTTTTAGATCGATAAAAATTCAATATCATTGAAAATATGATTGGATTACGATCAAAATAATATTCTTTATTAATAGGATCATAATCATCGCATAAATTTAATAATTCTTGTAAATTAGTTACATGATGTAATTTACCTAATCTTGTATTTGGATAACGATCAACAATATGCCATAATATTTCATGTTTAATACCGCCAACATTAATTAATGCACGTTTTGATTGATTATTATTATTATTATTATTGAATAATTTCATTGTAGATAATTGTGAATTCAATGGTATAGATGATAATTCATAATTGATATGATCTTGTTTAGTATTTAATGGATCATTGATTATTGATTTAATTAATGGTTCAGTTATTGATTGTTTACAATTCGATAAATCAATATTATTATTGTTATTATGTGTTGATAATGATTGATTATAATATGATTTGGGTATATTATTATTATATTATTATTATTATTACTATTATTATAATGAAGAGATTGATAATGAATATTTGATAAATGCGAATTAGAATTTTGATCTTTATGATGATCTAAGTTTTCATCAGTAGTAGTATATTGATTATGAGTATGATATAATTTATTGATGGAATTAAATGTTCTATGATGAATTTTATCTAAACTATTATATAATATTGGTAAATAAGGAATATTTGAATGATTGAATGAATGATTATAAATCTGTTCATTTAATTGACAATTCATTGAATGATGAACATTTTCAAAAGTATCTTTATGTTTCAAATTCAAAAATAAACTAGATGGTTCTGATCTCCAATTATGTTTTATTTTATTACTCCATGAATGGATTGATTGTTGAGGATCATGATGATGATGATGATGATGATAATGATAATGATCACGATCATGACAATGATGATGATAATAATCATGATGTTTATCAAGTTGATTATCTACAATAGGATGAATGTTTTCTAAATTATGTATAGGTGATTGTTTTTCATATTTTACAACTACTAATGGTTCATTTATTGTTTTTATTTCATTATGTTTTGTTATAGGTGATAATATAACAGATGTTGATCTCATTTTATTTGATTTCATCAATAATTCATGATTTATTGAAACTCTTGGATTACTTTCTGATTTCATTTGATTTGATTCATTTGATGAATAACTAGATCTTATATGAGAATAATAATATGGAAGAGATGATTGTGAATCATTGATTGATTTTTTCCAAAATGGATCAAATCGATATTTTTTGTTCCTTCTTTTTATTGTTGATAATGTTTTATATAAATGATTATCAGTTTCTATATAAGTAGTATTTAAATCTTGTGAATCATCTTGTTTCATTATTGTTTTCTTTTCTTTTTTACTATGATGGTTTATAGGAATGAAATGGGTTTAATCAGTAATTGATCATTAAAGTTGTACTCGTTTTATTGAAGAGATTAAGAATTAACATTCGATAGCTTAATATTGACAACAACAACGAAAAACAACAAAGAAACTCATTATCATTCTCATAAAAATGTCACATTTTAAGTCAATAATATAAAATAAAAAATGGTACTGATTTGTGATTTGATCCCTAAAAATAGACCAATAGAATGATATGAAATATTTTTCTCCCATATATCTCATAACCAATCAGGTTATTATAATGAAAGAATAAACATTCTAGCAGAATAGCATGGATCCATTTTTTGATTTCGTTGGTTCTCGTCAGCTGCTTACAACCTGTGATATTTATAAATCATAATTACATAATGAGTTTAAATGACTTACATAAAAGAGTTTGATTGGAAGTTATATTGAAGACATATTCGTATAGTATAGCAAGGGTGTAAATAAATTGAATAGACTGAATATTGTCAATATATACCTTATGTGATGAAAGAACATTGTGACAACAGTTCAAACGGCTAGGAACAAGTAAACATTGATATAGGAATAAAATGAGTAGAGTTCAGTTGATAAAATAAGATTAATAATTTGGAAGATAGTTGAAATAAATCTCAATGATGTGATAAGTGCAAGAAGGAGATTAAAGAAAAATTTAAAAAAATATATTAAAATACAGCGAAGGAATATTAGTCACCAAGGCAAGGAAAGTTTAATAACCATCTCCTTTTGAACACATAAATCAGGTTTTTGACGTCTGTTAGCAACTGCTTCAGCAAACTTAAGAAGACTGGAGTTTGGCTGCTTACTAATCAGCATTTGATAGTTTTGCTTGTTTTTGATATTTTTTTCTATAAAGATCTTACACCTTATTACAAATTAACTTGATAATGATAATTGTACATTGAATGAGTAATGCAAGATAAGGAGATAGAACCTCAGTTACATTGTCAATGAAGTATTATATAGGGTAAAGATAAGATTATTTATGTGAATTACAATCAATCCTCATATGATTTCATAAGTCTGTGGATATAAAATGACAAGACAACAACAAATTTCTAGAACCAGATATAAATGACTTTTTATTATTTAAGGATATATATATATATATATATATATCACTTATAAATCACGTTAACATGTTGAGATTAGATGATGATTGGAGGTAGTCGACAGGACCCGGGTTTCGTGCTACTTGGCACCCGTCAGCAAGGTGTACCTGTAGTTTTGAGGGAACTGGTGCTCCTTGGTGGATTCGATCCCGTGTCACTCAGCTTTACATGGTCGATAGCATCCGATCTGCACTAAATAAGGACTTGACACGCATAACATTGATCACCACTCAGTGATCAATCAATTGTGATCACGTTAACATGTATTTCATATATCTACATTCTTTAAACTGTCTAACTTACAAAATGACTTTTCAAAAGGGTTAATCGAAATTGTAATATTATGTTGGTAATGGAACTGTGTTTTAATGATTCAAACTTCCAACTGAAATTGATGTGCTGTATTCAAACTCATTTTGGTTAAGGCCACATTGAAAATTAATTTCAATGAATTGACCATAAGCCAAGTGATTCCATATTTGACTAAGATTCAAAGTAAATAAACATTTTATAGATTTAAAACATTGCGAGGATTACAGTAGTTGAAAAACGTTACATGATGCAACTTTATCCTTTGTGATTAGGATTTTTAGAAAAATTCTTGAATTAATCCTATAACTTTAAGTTTTTTATGGTTACTACTCTAAAATTCTTGTTATATTGTTGGTTAAACTTGAAACTCTCGAAGCTAAGTTGACATATGTTAGTTCCTTTTTACATTACAGCAGTTTATTAGCTACAGTCATCGTACTTTAATTAATGTTTCACTCTATCGAAATGATATTGTCCTATCGAAATTCATGAAGATAATGAGGAAAATTTGAAAAAGAAAACAATTCTTCCCATCTCTTATCCTTTCAACTTTGACTGTGATTTAAGAAATTTGATATTAACAGTTCATGTCCAGTAATTGGAGAACACTTATAACCGTTTATTTTGTTAATTTCTGAATGATTATACTCAGAGTTTATGCTGTCTAAAACGGTTGTTTTTAGCTGAAATGTAGAACATTACTGATAAATCAAATCCAAAATGTATAAATTTTGCATAGCTACCTTACTAGTACGTCATCTTCTATAAACGTTATATCTCCCACATTTAGTGTTTTTATTGTATTCTGTCGAATAAAATTCTAAAATCTAACGTTTACTGAGATTCTTTTCTTTAGAACGCTTTTTCCTTGATGCTATAACCACCTACCTATATCCAATTGAAATAGAATCTATATTGATAACTAAGAAGAAATTGACATTGTGAAAAAAAGATTCATACTATTCACCTAAACATTATTTATAAAAATAATATTTGAAATAATCTTACCGAGTGGAATTTAGATAATTCCAAAGTTTCGTACAGCAAACTTGTCTGGACTTCTTCAGGGTATTAATAATTTGTTAGATAGATAAATGTGTGGATAGATAGATAGATAGATAGATAGATAGATAGATAGATAGATAGATAGATAGATAGATAGATAGATAGATAGATAGATAGATAGATAGATAGATAGATAGATAGATAGATAGATAGATAGATAGATAGATAGATAGATAGATAGATAGATAGATAGATAGATAGATAGATAGATAGATAGATAGATAGATAGATAGATAGATAGATAGATAGATAGATAGATAGATAGATAGATAGATAGATAGATAGATAGATAGATAGATAGATAGATAGATAGATAGATAGATAGATAGATAGATAGATAGATAGATAGATAGATAGATAGATAGATAGATAGATAGATAGATAGATAGATAGATAGATAGATAGATAGATAGATAGATAGATAGATAGATAGATAGATAGATAGATAGATAGATAGATAGATAGATAGATAGATAGATAGATAGATAGATAGATAGATAGATAGATAGATAGATAAGCGTAAATCATTACATCAATCACCATATACATCATCGCCTTATAGAAAGTCACCTGACGGTCAATCATCAAACATCATATGAACTATTCAGTTCGAATCTCACGGTGGATATTCACTCTCAGGCTTGCAGATAAGCCTTGGTAATGAGTGCCACTTAGCATAAAAGTAATTGGCTTTGAATAGATTACATTAAGCCACTTACCCAGTTTTATAACTAGAAATTTTTAAAAATGTTCATTATCAAGTACTTTCATAATTCAAAAAAACTGTTTTAAAAAAGGGTTTAACTAGAAAAATACACTGAAAGTGTAGGGGTTGGTACTGTGTCAAACTCACATAAGAAATCAGGATGGCCATCAAACAAATCGAGAGTGTGAAAGCAGTAGCACTTGACAATATACGAGCCGAAGAACTAAACTCAGACATAGAAGTAACTACAAACACGCTCCGTATTCTATTCAGAAAGATTTGGGAGGAGGAACAAGTGCCTATAGACTGATGAGAAGGACATCTCATCAATATATTAAGGAAAGATGTGAGTGAATGTGAAAACTACAGAGGCATCACACTACTATCAATACCAGGGAAAGTCTTCAACAGAGTGTTTCTGAACCGGATGAAAGACGTGGCGGACGCCCAATCTCGAGATTAACAAGCTGTATTCCGTAAGGATCGGTCGTGCACAGACCAAATTGGGACACTACGGATCATCGTTGAACAACCAGTTGAGTGGAACTTGTCATTATACATCAGCTTCCTTGATTATGAGAAGACGCTTGACAGTATGGACAATAGAACACTATGGAAACTTCTTTGGCTTTATGGTGTATCTAACAGATCGTTAACATCATATGGAATTCACACAACGGACTACAGTGCAAAGTGGTGCATGGAGAACAGCATTTTAAGTGAGGACCGTAGTCAGACAAGGTTGCCTACTCTCTCCCTTTCTCTTTAGTCCGATGGTTGGCGGGATTATGGATACCTCGACATCTAAGGGGAAGCACAGGATACAATGGATAGCTCGGAATCAACTAGACAATGTGGACTTCACATATGACCTATCTCCTTTATCCCATGCACACGAATAAATGAAGATGAAGATAAAAGTGTAGCGGCAGCTTCTACAGCAGTAAGCATCAATATACACAAGGGAAAAACAAGATCCTGAAATACAATACGGAGAACACAAATTCAATCTCACTTGATAGCGAAACTTTGAGAAGGACGGTATCCTTCATGTATCCGGGTAGCAGCATCGATGAACAAGGCCGATCAGATGCAGACGTAAAAGCAAAGCAAAGACAGAATTCCTACAGTTGAAGAACACATGAAACTCAAAGCAGCATGACAGTTCGACTGTACGAAGCTGAAACTTCGAAAACTATTACAACCATCATCAAAAATGTACAAGTATTTATAAACAGTTGTCTATGCAAGATATTCAATGTTCGTTGACCAGATACCATCAGCAACATTCTACTGTGGGAGAGGACAAACCAAGTTCCATTTGAGGATGAAATTAGGAAAAGACGATGGAAGTGGTGGATAGGATATACATTGAGGAAATCATAAAACTGCACCACAATGCAAGCCCTATCTTAGGATCCTGAAGGGAAACGGAAGGAAGGAAGGCCAAAAAACACATTGTGTCAGGAATAGAAAGCATATATGAAAAGGATGAATATCAACTGAAAAGAACTGGAAGGGGCTCTCTAGGACAGAGTCGGATGGAGAATGCTGGTGGGTGGCCTATGCTACTCCACGTGGGGTGACAGATGTAAGTAAGCAAGTAAGTTAGTACGGTTTTTTAACAAACGGGATCGAGCGCATCTTCCCCAGACCACACAAATCACACTAGACTTTGCGATCAAAAAGGAATACGACTCCGCGTATCTCGTCTCCGCAATGACATCTCTGTTCATCTGGCCATTCTACTAATATATATCTAACGATAACTCTATGCATCTGTCATAACTCAAACGACAACGTACACTGACTTCGCATTTTATGATTACTATCAATAGCATTACAGCAATGAATATCACCCATCAATGCAGTTATCATCTTACGTCTGGATTATTTTTATCTCATATAAACTTTATGTACGTAAATTCCAATCCATTAATTGT